ACACCTGGCAGGGTCCAATGCTGACATGTTCCTGTTTTTAGTTTTCTGCATTTGTCTTGGAATCTAGCTGTTTTTTGTTTTGTTACCTTTTCCTTTTAGCCATCCTATTTGTTAAAAAAACAAAAAACAACAAAAAAAAAACAACTGTAGTATGCTTTTTTATAACTGTTTATTGTTGTTGCTGTTGTCCATTGTTGTCATCTTTCTTTGTTGAAATCAGGTCTCTCTTGTAAATGAGTCCTCGAGGCTCAATGGGATTTACCTGTATAAATAAAGGTTGATTGATTGATGTTCCCTCGCCCGGACGTGGGTCACCGAGGCCCCACTCTGGAGGTAGGCCTGGAGGTGGGGCATGCGGACAAGCACATGGTGGCCGGGCTTTTACCCATGGAGCTCGGCCAGGCACAGCCCGAAGAGGAGACATGGGTCCCCCTTCCCATGGGCTCACCACCTGTGGGAGGGGCCAAAGGGGTTGGGTGCAATGTGAGATGGGTGGTGGCCGAGGGCGGGGACCCTGGCGATCTGATCCTCGGCTACAGAAGCTGGCTATTGGGACGTGGAATGTCACCTCACTGGTGGGGAAGGAGCATGAACTGGTGTGTGAGGTTGAGAGGTTCCGGCTAGAAATAGTCGGACTCACCTCTACACATGGCCCTGGTTCTGGAACCAGTTTTCTTGAGAAGGGCTGGACACTCTTCCACTCTGGAGTTTCCCCTGGTGAGAGGTGCCGAGCAGGAGTGGGCATACTTATTGCCCCCCATCTTGGTGCCTGTGTGTTGGGGTTCACCCCGGTGAATGAGAGGGTGGCCTCCCTCCGCCTACGTGTGGGGGACGGGTTCTGACTGTCGTTTGTGCTTACGCACCAAACGGCAGTTCAGATTATCCACACTTTTTGGAGTCCTTGGAGGGGGTACTGGAAAGTGCACCTCCTGGGGACTCCCTTGTTCTGCTGGGGGACTTCAATGCTCACGTGGGCAATGACAGTGAGACCTGGAGGGGTGTAGTTGGGAGGAACGGCCCCCCTGATCTGAACCCATGTGGTGTTCTGTTGTTGGACTTCTGTGCTCGTCATGGATTGTCAATAACGAACACCATGTTCAAGCATAAGGGTGTCCATATGTGCTCTTGACACCAGGACACCCTAGGCCGCAGTTCGATGATCGACTTTGTCATTGTCTTATCTGATCTGCAGTCACATGTCTTGGAAACTCGGGTGAATAGAGGGGCGGAGCTGTCCACTGACCACTACCTGGTGGTGAATTGGCTCCTATGGTGGGGGAGAATGCCGGTCAGACCTGGCAGACCCAAACGTGTTGTGAGGGTTTGCTGGGAACGTCTGGCAGAGTCTCCTGTGAGATGGAGTTTTAACTCCCACCTCCGGGAGAACTTCGAAACATGTTCCAGGGGAGGTAGGGGACATTGAGTCCGAGTGGGCCATGTTCCGTGCCTCTATTGTCGAGGCGGCTTACCAAAGCTGCGGTCGCAAAGTTGTCGTGCCTGTTGTGGCAGCAACCCTCGAACCCGGTGGTGGACACCGTCGGTGAGGGATGCTGTCAGGCTGAAGAAGGAGTCCTATTGGGCCTTTTTGGCCTGTGGGACCCCGGAAACAGCTGATGGGTACCGACAGTCCAAGCAACATGCGGCTCGGGTGGTTCCTGAGGCAAAAACTCGGGCATGGGAGGAGTTTGGAGAAGCCATGGAGAATGAATTCCGTACGGCTTCGAGGCGATTCTGGTCCACCATCCGGCGTCTTGGGGGGGGGGGGGTACGCCACCAACACTGTTTATAGTGGGAGTTGTGCGCTGCTGACCTCAACTCGGGATGTCGTGGGTCAGTGGGCAGAATAGTTTGAAGACCTCCTCAATCCCACCGGCACGTCTTCCACTGAGGAAGCGGAGCCTGGGGACTCTGGGTCGGGCCCTCCAATCTCTGGTGCTGAGGTCACCGAGGTGGTTAAAAAGATCCTCGGTGGCAGGGCCCCAGGGGTGGATGAGATTCGCACGGAGTTCCTTAAGGCTCTGGATGTTGTGGCTTACGCGACTCTGTAATATTGCGTGGACATCTGGGGAAGTCCCCCTGGATTGGCAGACTGGGGTGGTGGTCCCCCTATTCAAAAAGGGGGACCGTAGAGTGTGTTCCAAGTACAGGGGGATCACACTCTTAAGCCTCCCTGGTAAGGTCTATTCGGGGGATCTGGAGAGGAGGGTCCGTCGGATAGTCGAACCTCGGATTCAGGAGGAGCAGTGCGGTTTTCGTCCTGGTCGTGGAACACTGGACCAGCTCTACACTCTCAGCAGGGTCCTGGAGGGTGCGTGGGGGTTTGCCCAACCGGTCTACATGTGCTTTGTGGACTTGGAGAAGGTGTTCGACTGCGTCCTTCGGGGAACCCTGTGGGGGGTACTCTGGGAGTATGGGGTACAGAGCCCTTTGATACGGGCTGTTAGATCCCTGTATGACCTGTGTCAGAGCCTGGTCCGCATCCCCGGCAGTAAGTCGGGCTTGTTCCCGGTGAGACTTGGACTCCACCAAGGTTGCCCTTTGTCACCGATTCTGTTCATAACTTTTATGGACAGAATTTCTAGGCGTAGCCAAGGTGTTGAGGGGATCCGTTTTGGTGGCCTTAAGATTGCGTCTCTGCTTTTTGCAGATGATGTGGTCTTATTGGCTTCATCGGATCGTGATCTACAGCTTTCGCTGGAGCGGTTCACAGCCGAGTACGACGCAGCTGGGATGAGGATCAGTTCCTCCAAATCCGAGGCCATGGTCTTGAGCCGGAAAAGGGTAGAGTGCCCTCTCCGGGTCAGGGAGGAGGTCCTACCCCAAGTGGAGGAGTTCAAGTATCTTGGGGTCTTGTTCACGAATGAGGGAAAAATGGAGCGTGAGATTGATAGGCGGATAGGTGCAGCGTCTGCAGTGAAGCAGGCGCTGTACAGGTCTGTTGTGGTGAAGAGAGAGCTGAGTCAAAAGGCGAAGCTCTCAATTTACCGATCGATCTACGTTCCTACCCTCATCTATGGTCACGAGCTTTTGGTTCTGACCGAAAGAATGAGATCTCGTATACAAGCGGCCGAAATGAGTTTTCTCCGCAGGGTGTCTGGGCTCTCCCTTAGAGATAGGGTGAGAAGCTCGATCATCTTGATTGATTGATTGATTGATTGATTGATTGATTGATTTTATTGTCAATTCTGCATATGTACAGGACATACATAGAAATTGAAATTGCGTTACACTCCTACTCAAGTTGCAGCAAACAACAACATTAGCAAAAATAAACTAACACAACTAGTTATATAAAAAAATATAAAAGTAAAAGTGAACAGCAGCAGGACCTCTGATGCAACGTGCTCAATAGTGACTAACAGGAGACAAAGGGACGCTGACTGAAGACAATAACGTGATGAGAGGTAGATAATGGATGTGCAAGGCCAGAGTAAACAATAGTGCAATATAAAGTATAAACCTGAGAAACTTAGTAAAGTGAAGGTGTGCATACCGGTTCTATATAGAGCCACAGTTATGTACTGATGAGGTGATTAAGTGGAAATGACAATACCAGAATTACCAGAATAAAGAATAAACAGGACGAGTTGATCATAACAGTAGTGCAAAATATAATGCAATAAACAGTAGAGTGAGCTTGTAGGCTGTTAAAGTGACCGATTCATAAACTATTCATAAAAATAAATAAATGTCCCAGAGCAGTTTTG